ATCACTAAACATCAGAGAAACGCATTTTAAAACCACAATGAGCTATTGCCTCGCATCTATAAGAATGACTATCACCAATGAATCAACAAAAAGCAAATATTGGTGAGGATGTGAAGAGAAGGGAACCTTTGTGCGTTGTTGGTGGAATTGCAAATTGCTGCAATCACTATGGAAAACAGTATGGAAATTCCTAAAAAATAAAATTAAAAGTAAAGCTACCTTATGGCCTAGAAATTCCACTTCTGGGTATTTATTCAAAGAAATCCAAAATACTAACTCAAAAAGACATATGCATCTCTTTAATACGTCTCATGTCTTTTTTGTTCCTTTATTTTTTCTCTTTTTGAAGTAAGTAGTTCTTGTAATGATTTTTTATTACAGATTTTTTGTTATTAGTGATTGGTCTCGGGATTCCCTTATACATCTTAACCGAACAGATTCTACTTCAGGTTTATACTTATTGAATTCCAGTGAAATTAAAAATCATATTTCTGTATAGCTCTGTTTTCTTCCTTTTTTGTGCTATTACTATGCATACACATGTATATATGTTACAAACGTAACAATATGTTGATGTAATTATTAGTTTGAGTAATTTTATGTCTTTTAAAGAAGAAAAGAAAGGGGAGCAAATACATATGTATAGAGTTTATTTTATTAGCCTTCTTTTGTACCATTTCTAATTCTCTTTATTTGTTCTTGTGGATTTGAGTTACAATGTGGTGTCATTTCCTTCTCCAATACAGATTTGCTCCCACCAACCTCCTTTGCGCTGTTATATATATATATTACATTTCTATATGTTAGAACCCAACAATATGTAATCCGCAATATTGTTTTGTACAATTCCTTTTTAAATTAGGTAGGAGAAGAAATTCACATTCATGCTTTCTTATAATTCCATAATTTCATTTACTGGTGCTCTGCCTTTTGTTTGGAGTCATGTCACACCTGGGGGCACTTGCTTTCAGCCTGAAGAACTTTCTTTAGTAGTTTTTGTGATGTCGGTGTGCTACCAATTATTCCTCTCAGTTTTGTTTATTTGGATATGTATTTATTGCCCCTTCATTTTTGAAAATTAGTTTTACTGGATATCACTTTTTGGTTGGCAGGTATTTGGGTATTTTCCTGTTAACACTTTGATTATATAACCCGACTGCATTCTGACCTTTATTTCCAAAGAATCAGTTTCTGATATTATTGGGTTTTTTTTATATATGACTAGAGGCCCGGTGCACAAAAATTTGTGCACTTGGGGGGGGGGGGCCCTCAGCCCGGCCTGTGCCCTCTCTGAGTCTGGGACCCCTCGGGAGATAACGACCTGCTGGCTTAGTCCTGCTTCCGGGTGGCAGAGGTCAGGCCCAATCCCTAGGTGCAGCCCCTGGTCGGGCTCAGAGCAGGGCTAATTGGGGAGTTGGGGCGCTGCCCACGTCATGCACAGAGCACGGCGGATTGGGAGGTTGCGATGCCACCCTCAGTCACGCTCAGGGTAGGGCCGATTGGGGGGTTGGGGCACCGCCCCCTGTCACACTCAAGGCAGGGTCGATGGGAAGGTTGCAGCGCCACCCCCTGTCACGCACAGAGCAGGGCCAATCGGGGTTGGGGCGCTGCCCCCTGTCACGCACAGAGCAGGGCCCATCAGGGGGTTGAGGAGCTCCCCCCGTCACACACAGAGCAGGGCCGATCAGGGGGTTGGGGAGCTCCCCCTGTCATGCACAGAGCAGGGCCCATCAGGGGGTTGGGGAGCTCCCCCTTGTCACGCACAGAGCAGGGCCGATCAGGGGGTTGAGGAGCTCCCCCGTGTCACTCACAGAGTAGGGCCGATAGGGGAGTTGGGGCACCGCCCTCTGTCACACACAGAGCAGGGCGGATCAGGGGGTTGGGGCACCGCCCTCTATCACCCACAGAGCAGGGCCGATCAGGGGGTTGGGGCGCCGCCACTGTCACACTCAGGGCAGGGCCGATGGGGAGGTTATGGCTCTACACCATCACACACAGAGCAGGGCCCGTAGGGGGGGTGGTTGGGGCACCGCACCCTGTCACACACAGAGCCACAGGGCGATCAAGGGGTTGGGGAGCTCCCCCTTATCAGGCACAGAGCAGGGCTGATCAGGGGGTTGGGGCGCCTTCCCCTGTCACGAATAGAGCAGGGCAGATAGGGAGGTTTTGGCCCCGCCCCCTGTCACACACAGAGCCGCAGGGTGATCAGGGGGTTTGGGCGCTGCCCCCTGTCACGCTGATCCCGGTGCCGGGAGGCCTCGCGGCTCCGCTGCTCCTGGTGCTGGGAAGCATATTACCCTTTTACTATATAGGGTAGAGGCCTGGTGCACAGGTGGGGCCTGGCTGGTTTTCCCTGAAGGGTGTCCTGGATCAGGGTGGGGGGTCCCCACTGGGGTGCCTGGCCAGTCTGGATGAGGGGCTGAGTGCTGTTTTCAGGCTGGCGGGTGATGGAAGCTCCCAACTTCTATTTTTTTTCTTTTTTTTTATTCTGGGCCAGCTTTAGCTCTGGCTCCAGCTCTGAGGCCTCCACTGCTGAAAGCAGGTATCTGGTTTGTTTGGGTTCTATAATCGAAACACTGTATCAACTCCAACTCTGATATCCCAACTGGCTGAAAGCAGGTTTCTGGGGTTTTGTTTAGCTTCTATATTTGTAACAATGTTTCAAACTGCAAGCTCAGAGGCCAGCAAGGCAGGCGGGGAACGTTGGAGTCCTCTGTCACTGAAGCAAGCAAGCCTCTTGTTAGCTTCAAGCTCCCTGGCTGCCGGCCGCCATCTTGGCTGGCAGTTAATTTGCATATCTCGCTGATTAGCCAATGGGAAGGGTAGCAGACGTTCGGCTAATTACCGTGTTTCTCTTTTATTAGATAGGATGAGTTCTTTTTCTCTTACTGCTTTTAAGTTTTGTCTCTGTCTTAAACATTTTGCTATGCTGTGACCTCTAGTTCTTGCTGTGGAGGAGCTCATAGGCCAGGGGTAGGCAACCTTTTTGTGAGTGCGTGCCAAAATCTCTGACTCAAAATTCTTCCCCGTGCCAACCCTAATTTTTTGAGAACATGTTACCGCCTACTTGATATCTCTTAAGGTGTACATATGTGAAGAACCTTGAAGAAATAATAAAATTCATTCAAACAACACAAACACAGTATATGATGATGAAAAATACATGTATTTTTTAATGTATACATGTACACTGATAGTCCAACAGAAAACTTTATGACTCCCTTTGATATTATCAGTGGGACTTTTGCTGCTGCATCACTGATGACAGAGATTTTACCTCAGGTTTATATTTCGTGACCTTCAGAGATATGCACGAGCTACTACTTTCATCCGTCAGGCTACTCCTATTATGAGACTTAACAAAATTCATCACTGAGAACAAAGATTCACAAGTGTATGTGGATGAAACCAAAATACTGGTCAGATCTAGGAAGGCAGGGAGAGTTAAGGCAGAGGCATAGAAATTGCTCTTCCCCTCTCTCGTCAATCCATGTCTATGGTCTTTAAGATAACTTGTTATGTAAAATTATTTATTTATCTAAGATGCACCTACACTGAATTTATCTGAAAAATAAAAAACTCGATATTAAGAAAAAAATTGTAAATGGAAGATTGTAAGAGCAGGTTTCACATGCCAGCAAAAGTTACTGGCGTGCCATGTTTGGCACGCGTGCCAGGGGTTGCCCACCCCTGTCATAGGCCATCTAAGGAGGCAGATATATAAACAAATGTGTATAATTTAATGTGATATTTAATTTTATTTTACTTTTTAATTTATCTTTATTGTTGATAGTATTACAGATGTCCTCCTTTTGTTCCCCATTAACCTCCTCCACCCTGTACCACCATCCTCCCCCCACCTCCAGGCCTTCACCACACTATTGTCTGTGTCCATGGATTATGTATATATGCATATAAGTACTTTGGTAATATGTATTTTTAAAGCTACAAAATGCTAGTGGTAATACGATAGATATGAGAAAATATAGACTATAGTGTTTGAATATAAATTAACGTACAACTATGATTTCAGTTTCATTTAGAATATTCAATTCTAGAATTGAAGTAGAATGTTGTTGTGGTTATTGTACATCTTCCTCTTCTACTAATATATAAGTGCCTTGAAGACTTGTCCTGTGTATTATTTTTTTTCTATTTCCTAGCACTACTAAACATACATAGAATACACTCAATAAATGCTTGTTAAATTGAATTAATTCTAGGAGCTGCTCTTTTTTAAAAATTCAATCTCACAGTCTATAATTTAATATACTACATCTGCATATCCAGACTGCTGGTTTTTGTCCTAATTTAAGATGCAATTGTAGAGAAATTGATAAACGTAACATTTTAAATCTAAATTATTTTACTCTTTCTCACTTTGGAAACTGTAGGCTTATTCTATGGGTAGTGCCTTCACACAACATATTTATAGAATTGGCCTTTTGTTCCTGACACACTGTTTTAAATACACACACTTGTTTTATCTGAATTCAGAAACCTACTAAATGTCATCTCAAACGAAGTTTAGTGGGTCAAAAGTTATGCAGACCTTTTGAGGTCAAAAACAACAAGGGATCTTGTGAGATGCAAAAGCTCATGGTAACGGCAATTACAAAAGAGAAATTCCAAATATATAGTGAACTATTTTAGCATTTCTGGGCTTGCTTTATGGCCTCCCAGGATAACCATTTTGAAGGGCAAACCTTAAGTACAGTACATTCTTTAAAATACCAGACTCCTCATAGTCGCAGTTTGTAACCCTGGTTTATTAAAAAGAGTTGGTTTTATTGGACTGGAATTTAAGCATTTTATGTTGTTTCCTGACAAATAATCAGTCTAATACTACCTGAATTGGTATTAAACTTTTACTAGTGACCTCTATATGATAACTTGTTTTTAATTAGAAAATATAATTATTATTTCCTCATTCTTTCTTTAAAAGATGTAATTAGAGCTCACTTGATTTTTTTTTTTCATTTTTATTGGATATTTTTCAGCCTGAAAAAATGTGTGCATTCATGCTCATGATTCTTTCATTATTATATTCATTGTTGTTATCAGGTAAGACCAAAAATCACCCTCATTACCTGATTATCTGATCTTTTACCTAAAGGAGCCTAATCTAGAGCTAAGACCAAGGACATGTCAGATGGAGCAAATACTATAAAGCAGCATTTCAACTGTACTTACTCAGTTTCTGAGAAATGAAACAGGAGAAGAGCTGAAGTTTACTTTTGCTTTAGCTAGAAAGAAAAAGGATTGCCAGTTAAATTAATGCTATTGACATGAAGAGATAGATCTATTTAAGAAAACAAATGCCTTGCCCTGGGTGGGTGGTTCATTTGGTTGGCACATCGTCCTGTACACCTAGCATGTCAAACTCACGGCCCATGGGCTGCATGCGGCCCACAATGAATATTTTTGCAGCCCAGCCAATATAACAGTATGTGAGAAACGTTTTAATAAAAATTTCGTAACCTAATTTTTACAATATCCTGTTATACATAATTATTAATAACGAACTACAGCATAGTTCAACTTGTGATGACTGATTACTATAATCGTTGTTGCATTCATTTCCCTTGTGCCTACGTGCAGGCACACCATTTCTGTCCACTAATACTAGCAGCGAACATTTTAGCAGCCGATTGCCACGTTATTAGTCTAGTACTGACTTGTTTGGTGTGCGCAATAGGAAATATTTCTCTTTCAGAAAACGAGAAAGATATGTTTATTTGCGTTGCACTTATTAATTTGTGCAGTTACTCAATGTCTGGTAAGTGAATGTTCAAGAAAAATATTAATTTTTTTAAAATGTTCTATTATTTTATGTTAATGATTACTCATTTATTTCAGCCCTCAAATACTCATTTGTATTCAGCATGTGTCTATCAAAATAAACCTATGTTTCTATGAAAGTTGAAGCTTTTGTTTTTTGCGGCCCACATAAACTTAAGCCTTGTTTATTTGGCCTGTATTAGCCTTTGAGTTTGACATGCCTGCTGTACAAGAAAGGTTGTGGTTCCATTCTCAGTCAGGGCATGTAATGGAGGCAACCCATAGGTCTCTCTCTCCCTCTCCCCCACCGCTCCCTGTCTCCCTCTCTCTCTCCCATCCCCTTCCTCTCTCTCTAAAAATCAGTAAAAAACATATCCTTAGGTGAGGAATAAAAAAAGGAAACACCTTTTTAAAACCTTTGAGTTCATTTGGAAGGACTATTCATACACTTTCAATTTTTATTCTGATTTCAATGTATTTTATTTTACAAGTTTATAAAACCAGCTTTTACAGGGACTAGGTACCATTTTTCTGTTTCTCTTTAATTGGTGTTTTATTTATAAATAACAAAACAATTGAACTACTCCAGATTTTACTAATTAAGTCTGATAAAATTCACTTGTAAGTAATTAGTACAGAGTACATATTTTCAAAAGGATTCAAGCAGGTTTATGAAGCACAGATTTCAAAGGGTAAAATAGAGATTCGGGGGTACTAGCCTAAACTTGCATGTTTGATGGATAAGGAAGCCATCTGAGCTACTGTCACATGCATGACCTGAAACAAATAACCGTTTTACCTTCTCATATTTTTATACAACATTAGAGGCCCAGTGCATGAATTCGTGCACCAGTGGGGTCCCTCGGCCTGGCCTGTGGGATCGGGCTGAAACCAATGTCCGATATCCCCCAAGGGGTTCGGGGTTGCGAGAGGGTCCAGGCCAGGCCAAGGGACCCCACCGGCGCACGATCAGGGCTGGGGAGGGATGTAGGAGGTTGGCCAGCTGGGGAGGGACCACAGGAAAGTTTTAGGGAATGTCAGGCCTGTCTTGCTCAGTCCCAATCGGCCGGACCCCAGCAGCAAGCTAACCTACTGGTTGGAGCTTCTCCCCTGGTGGTCAGTGCATGTCATAGCAAGTGGTTGTGTGGCCTTAGCATATCATTAGCATATTACGCTTTGATTGGTTGAACGGATGACCAGACGACCAAACACTTGGCATATTAGGCTTTTATTATATAGGATAGATATTCACAAGTAATATCTATCATGTCCAGACTTTCAGGAGGGTACCTTGATATTTTGTGAAAATAAGTGATTACTGTTTCAAGACATAGTTTGCTTTCTGAAGAACTTTGACTTATGTTATTAAATATGGTAATAACAACATGTGCATACTGCATTATGTTTACCAAATATTTTTACATTTGTTGTCTCAGTTGGTCCACCCTGGAAACAGTAGATATCTATAATAATAAAAGCGTAATATGCTAATTAGATCGGACAACAACCAAATGACCTTCCAGATGTCATTCTGGCTGAAGCTGCAGCAGCGGGGGCCGAGGCAGAGGAGGTTAGGGGCGATCAGGCAGGCAGGCAGGCAAGTGGTTAGAGGCAATCAGGCAGACAGGTGAGCAGTTAGCAGCGATCAGGCAGGCAGGAAGAGTGGTTAGGGGAGACCAGTCAGGCAGATGAGTGGTTAGGGGTGATCAGGCAGGCAGAGTGGTTAGAGGTGATCAGGCAGGCAGGCAGAGGAGTCCCAGATTGTGAGAGGGTGCAGGCTGGGCTGAGGGGACTCCCCCCCCACCCCCGCACGAATTTCATGCACCGGGCCTCTAGTCCTATATAATAAAAGCCTAATATGCTAAGTGTCCGACCTTTTGACCAGTCACTATGATGTGCACTGACCACCAGGGGGCAGACACTCCCACCAGTAGGTTAGCTTGCTGCTGGGGTCCGGCCAATCAGGACTGGGAGAGACGGGCTGGACATACCCTGGAGCCATCCCTCAGTCTCTTCCCAGCCCCAGTCGTGCACCAATGGGGTCCCTCACACTGGCCTGTGCCTTCTCACAATCCGCGACCCCTCGGAGGATATCAGAGAACTGGTTTCGGCCCAATTCCCGCAGGCTAGCCCGAGGGACCCCACTGGTGCATGGCCTCTAGTATAACTTATAATGTAGATAGGAGTTAAGACTTACTTTATTACAATGAAGAGCATTCTTCCTCACCCCCCTCCCTTTTTCTCTTCTCCTACTACACACACACACACACACACACACACACAGAGGCTTGGGCTAAAAAGGGACATTTGGGTTCATAAGATGGGATGGTTTTTAAATAGGCCAATTCCAGGTTCCCAACTCTTTCCCTCCGGATCGGCTCCATAGTCTCTTTCACTCTTTGGTGGTCCTGACGTTTTTGAGTATCACTGTTACTGATTTGGTTGATGCCCATCTTTGGACACCTCACTGTGGACAGAGGAATAGCTAGACACTTTGACTGCTTTGGCAATTAGACTCACTTCTAGAGCTGGGAAGTAGGTGTGTTGTCCATAGGAAAGTCAGCATGCAGTTACCAAAAGTAGCAGTAAAGCATGGTGGGTGGCAAACTTCAAGTGTCCACTCTAGCAGATATTATCATCTCCACCTTTCAGATGAGAACATGGATATTCAGAGGGGCTAAATGACCTACCCAAAGTAGGTCTTCCGGTTACAAACCCTGCTCCAAGCTGCCCTAAAGGAAAAGGGAAGCAGCAATGGATAAGAAAAGAGAAATGGTTCTAGGTATGACATTTATTTCTATTCTATTTTTTGAAGTGAACCAGGCATGATTGATTTTAGGGTGATAATTGAGTCTGAGTCTGTGGGGAGGGTGAACAAGAAATTTGTGGGAAATAAAATGTCTCAAGGTCTGTGTAAAATAAAATGTCCCAATGTCCCAATGTTAGCAATTTAAATAGCTAACATTTATTAGCCATTCCTTATATCAGGCACTGTGCTAAGCATTATTCCTATATCAAATGATACAACATTCCTATGAATTAAGGATTTTTACAGATAAAGAAACTTAAACAAAAAATGGTTTAATATCTTATCCATGGGGGTTAATATCTGTTTCATGTGGGACAGAGGTTCCAGCTGAATCAGAAACACGTACACAGGAAACCAAGCAAATGAAAAGATGATATAACTGGAAAGAGGCAGAGCTAAGATTTAAACCCAGGGAGTCCAGAACCCACTGCAGTGCCTGTTTTTTATTTTCATTGTCACCAATTAGCAGCAATATTTAGGGATGTGTGATGTGCTGTCTGTCATAGCAGATACTTGGTGCAACAGCTGTTTCCTAGAAATTTACCCTATAAGGTTGTATAATTCAATTCATGCAACCACATTTAAGAATTTATAAACGCCTACCATGTTTCCACAGATCATGGTTTATGTTAACTTTTATGCTGTTTTTGTTTTGTTTTATATTTATCAGAGTTACACATGCACATCGTTTAAAAAATCAATTAGTCCTACAAAACTTATAAAAAAAAAAAAGAAAGAAACAGGTCCTTGCTTTGTACTTCCTTTTACTATTTTTCAAATTCCCAGAAGCAATCACTTTTTTACTTTTTTTTCTGTTTCCTCTGGTATTTATGAAAAATAATATCTCTAAATAACATGATTGTATCTCTACTTCTTGATTTTTTCAGCTTCAGATAATCCATTACTGTGCCACTATGGGAGATGTAGATTTAGATATTTATGCCCCCTACACCATCACCACAAATACGCCATCTTTTCAATCTGATGACTTTTAATAACCATACTATGTATCTAATTCTCTGCTTTCCCTAACAATAATAATTGTCATATTTTTCATTTGCTTGGCTTCCTGTGTACTTGTTTCTGACTCAGCTGTAACTTCTGTCCCACATGAAACAGATTTCTTTTTATTATCACCTTGGGGTTTCTTTTTGTCCCTGCTTTGAATTGGATCTTCTGTTTTTAATGTCTTTCCTTCTTCATTTACTCTCTCATTTTGATGGAGCACTTCTAACAATAGCTTTGATCTTCGCTCTGTAAAATGCCTTTATGCTTTAGACATTTGATTGATTTTGTGGCTGAGAACAGACTTTGTGGTTTGGAATTTATTTTCTCTCAAAATTTTTATGTTCTCTCTCCATTGTCTTTTGGTGTTTAAAAGTTGAAAAACAATCTAATTTTTGTTCTACATTTTTTCCCACTATTTTCTATTTTTTCAAGAGTTCTTGCCGAAACTGGTTTGGCTCAGTGGATAGAGCGTCGGCCTGCGGACTGAAGGGTCCCAGGTTCGATTCCGGTCAAGGGCGTGTACCTGGGTTGCGGGCACATCCCCAGTGGGAGATGTGCAGGAGGCGGCTGATCGATGTTTCTCTCCCATCGATGTTTCTCTCCCATCGATGTTTCTAACTCTCTATCTCTCTCTCCCTTCCTCTCTGTAAAAAATCAATAAAAAAAAAAAAGAGTTCTTAAACTTTATTATGATGTGCCTTGTTGGGGTTCTATTTGACTAGACACTCAGTGAGTCCTTTTAATCTGCAAATTAATGTTGTTTAGTTCAGGCAAATTTTCATGAATTGCTTCTTTGATTATTTCTTTCTCTCCATGTTCTCTTTTCTTTCTGTTATCTGGATGCTGAACCTCTAGATTGGTCTAATTTTCTTATCCTTTTTCTCCTATGTTCCTTTAAAAAAAGAGACTTTTCTTAGTCTCTTCTTTCTGGGATATCATCCAACCTTTGGATTTCCATTTCTAATATAATTTTGTTTCTCAGAAACAGTTTCTTTGTTCCTTTTTATAAAAAAAATATCAACTTGTTTTTGTTTCATGGATGTAGTCCTCTCATATCTTTGAGGATACTTTTCCTGGAAACTTTACTAGTATTTCCCCAAATAATTCTATTTCCTGTTTGTTTGCTTTAAGGCGTCATCTTTCATGTGAGGGGCTTTCCTCGGATGTCTGGTGGTCTTTGACTGTCAGCTCACTTTTAAGGTAGTAAGAAAGGTAAATGTGTAGATAACACATAATTGGGGCTTAATAACTGTGAATTCCCTAAATCCAACTATGCTATTTATTCAGAACCCCAATATTATTTTAGTGAATATCTTCCTTTTCAGTTCAGTTAGATTCACCAAAGAAGTTTTTACTCTCCTGCCTAGAAGTTATAAAATGAGCTAGTAGCATTCTGCAAACCAAATAGAAGAGAAGTGGGAGTCTCAATATTCAGCATGTAAAATGTCACTCAGTTCTCTTTTCATTTGAGCACTCTGCCCTTCAGAATTCCTCCAAATTTCCCAGTTCAGGAACTTTGCTAGGATGAAAGAGGGAGAAGTTCTTTTCCACTTGTGAAGAGTAGAAAGGGAATGTAAAAGACAGATTCTTAAATAGAATGCCAAAGAGGTTTGCTCTGATTCCCACCTTTAACTAACTTTCATAAATCTGGGTCCCCCTAATTCCTAAGTTTTTTTGGAAACTAGTACAAATTAAATTGCTTCTTGGCTTTGCCTACTGCTGCTTTAGGATTCAACTTGCTTGGGATTCAGCTATAGTCAGTTAGCTATAGTTTTCTGCCTTCTAGCTCCCCAATTTTGGTTACTGTCATTCATCTCTATTCTGCTTTTCTTTCTTGGCTTATTCTTTTTAATAAAATATTTAATATTCTGTTGTATCTTAGTGTGGTTTTGAAAGGGAATGAAGTTAAATGTGTATGTTCAATCTGCCACCTTTAACCAGAAGTCAACGGTGTTGATTTTATTGTCTACTATATAGTTTTTTCTTTTTTATTTTATTTTTATTGAATTTATAGTTTCATTTTTTAAGCATTTGTTAGATTTGAGATAAAAGATTTTTCTTAAAAATAAATTTTTCTCTGGAGAAAATGGGAAATTACCATATTCAGTTCTATACTCTGTCCCAGAGTAAGATTTGAGGAGATTGCTGTTCACATATTATATATTTTGCATTTAAATGGTTTTATTACCATACAGACCTGCTTCCTTCACAGCGTGTGGTGATATGTATTACTGGGTTGGCCTGAAAACAATAACTGAGAGCCATATATTACATAGCTCTTATAATTATGACATATAATAAGATGATCAAATTTTCCAAATCAAACACTGGACAACTTAGTTGAAACATTAAGGAAAGTAAGTAGATCCACGAACGTTGGGCCAATGTACTATGTAAGTTTCATTATTTTACTTAATGCATGTTTGAGATGATTTTTTATTATTGCACTATGTTTTATGAATAAAGATCATAAAGAGTCTCAGAGAAGTCAAGGTACTTCCCCAAATTCATACAGCTAGTGGGTGACAAAGGTTGAATTTGAACCCAGAATTCACTTCAACGCTAATACTGTTTTGAGTGAGTGTGCATAAGAAAATCTGGACTTATGAGACTGAATTAAAGATCCCCAGAGCTTGGTGAAAAGTCAAAGAAGGAACACTATCAGCAATAGTAATCAGAAAATTACATCACTTATTGTTTGCACCTTTTTACACAACCATTTCATTGTATACTAACAGCCCTATGAGCTCGCAATATAAACTTAAGTTTTATAGTTGTTTCTCTCAAATATGTAAAACATTGTTTATCTATAGCTATAATTTACTTACCTCACAAACACCTTTTCCTGGTCATCATTGTCTGTCTCCTCCCACTTCCCCTCTTCCACATCCCCAATGCCTCCATCCCAGCCCCTGCAATGCACACCCTGTCATCACCATTTCCACAGATAAAGTAAAACTTAATCTTACCAATTGGTAGTTGCTTGGTCATTTCTGAAAAAAAAATTGAGTCAATTTAGGCTTTAAATTAAATTTCTTCCCTACCCCTTACTTTCTCCTTTCCTTCCACTCTTCTTCAAGTTTCTGGAAGACTCATATCATTCTGGCGTTAGTGGGTAAGTACAGGATTCCACACTCTTCCCTCTGCTTGCTGGTCTCTGCTGAGTTACTGGTTGGCCCTTGCATATTGGCACCATATGCCAGCACCTACTGAGATGTGGTTCTTCTTGCTGAGCCTCATACTGAACATACTGCCATGGTCTTTGCCATGGTCTCCAGTTGTAAGGACCTTGCACTCTTTGCTGCGTTTTCTTAAACCTCAGTCTCCTTTTTGTCTGCCGGATCAGTCTTCAAACTTTTGCAATCCACGCATAGGCTTCAGGAGCTTTTCAGGTGCTCTGCCACAATACACACAATACACTGGTGTCGTAAAATCCAAAGATGTCTTCAGACAACCCTCCCAGCTACCTTCCTAAGACATTACCTCCGGCGCTCTATACTCAGACATCTAGATGCTCTTTCCTGGCAGGGGGGCAGAATCTATTTCCTCTGCATAGGGAAACATCTATTTTATCCTCTTACATTCTTGCCTATTTATAGATTTTATGCCATAAACTTTATAATAAGAATATATAAGGCAGCTCTATATATCCTGAAATGATCAATTGACAAAACATCATGTGAAGAGAGCAAAGTAAGAACAATGTGTATAACTTGCTCCATGTCTGTAAAAACTTGTTTAGATAAGGCAATGCATTAAACATTTCTGGGAGAAGACACGAATCTGGATCAGGTTGCCTTTGGGGAGGGAAAGCAGATGTCTGGGAAACAAGGCTGGAAAAGAAATTTTTCACTGCTTTTTTATATCTTTCAAATTCTGTATTATGCAAATAATTTATTCAAAAAATAAATAAAAGATCATTGTAAAACATTTATAATTTGGCTTCTTTAATCTTGCCAGGCTCCAAATCATCTGATTCTCAGCCACAGACAGAAAGAAGCTCTTTTGGCAAAGCTGTCTTTTCTCCCTCCTCTGCTTCCTGATGCGCCGCTCTGTCTTGTGGAACGAAGGCTGCATGAAGCAGCAGCCTACTTCAGCCTTCTGACTGTTTGCCTTACAGTGGAAGGGAAAATACTTCAGTAGGAAGATGGCCTGGGTCCCAAATATAACAGATGATAGCTTAGCTATTTTGCTAACTTGCCAGACTGAGATAGAGAGTCCTCATTACCCTTCACTTAACCCCTTTGGCCAACCCAAGTCTATATTTTAGGGTCTGTTCCTTACAAGAATTTTTGTTATCTGTAGGCTTACCACACTGAATAGGTATTTAATAAATTATGATGACTATAAATGCATGAATCAATTTTATAAGAATACGCCACCTAGGTTCATTCTAAATATATTAACTGAGAGATTTTTAAAGGTTGTACTTTAAATTTTCTGAGTGTCCGTTAATTATAGCTCTCTTTTTTTCCCTGATCCAAAAGCCAATTAAGGATCATATATTGTATTCAGTTGTCCTAACCATTTAATTTTCTTTCATCTAAAAAAACTTCCCAGCCTTTTAGTGTCATGACATCGACTTTTTTGGGGGGTCAATTGTTTGTAAGATGTTCCTTGATTTAAATTTTTCTGAATTTTTAAATTATTAGATTTAGGTTAAATATTCTTGGCAAGAATACTCCATTGGTGATGCTGTGCCTCCTCCAGATAATATAAAGAAGAAATTGGTAACACAGTAGATGAGCACTCTACTATGACTTGATGGAGGGTCCAGAATGAGTTTTCAAACCTCTTTGCTTTAATTTTATACTGATAGGTCATTTTTAAGTGATTTGGTAGTTAAATAGACCAGGTATCAGTAAATAGTATTTTATTCAATCCATTGAATATCACTTGGAACAGCAAAAGTGTTCTCCTGCTAAATTGATCAGTTTCTTATGAGTTTGTAACAGTTTGGGGAACCGACAGAAGTTTCTGATTTGCGAAGTGAGGGCCAAGTGATAATAATATCCACCTCACAGCATTGAGTTGAGAATTACTTGAGATGTGAACTCAAGTAATGAAATGAAATATCACTTACAGTAATATACTCTGTGAAAGGTCTCTATTAATGTCACCAACCCTACCCAGGTATTTATTTTTTAAACCACATATATATCGTATACTATTGTATATGGCAGTGTTCTAAATATTTTATGAATATTAATCTTTGTAGCAAAGATTGGATACTATTATTATCATCCCCATTTGTAGATGAGGAAACTGAAGTACAGAGAAGATAAATAATTTTTCCAAGGTTACATAACAACTGTTTACCTGTGAGACCCCATTTTTTAAAAGCAGGCAGCCTGTATAGCTCCGATGTGTTCTTAAAGATAGACTTCATTCCACCTCTCCTTTAAATTAATGCATGTGTCTGTGTCACTTCTGTTTCAGAGAGAAGAGGTACTCCCATGTAGGGATTCATAAAGGCATAGAGCACCTAGAGATTTGCTGCCTCCATTACACTGCTGGGTCTCACAGCACTTGTTATGTTTTTAAGTTTGTCTCCAGAAGGTAGGAATTGTGTGTTTTTCTCTCCATTAATTATTTATATAATTATAGTTTTCTTGTCTGTGAATTTAATTTTTATTAAATATTAAAAGCATCTTCTGACATCCAGAGATTAAAATGCCAAAGAGTAAAGGCACATAATCACATTGCCTCTATAAAAACATTTTCTATTCTAAAACTAATACATGTTCATTGTAAAAAAAATATATATATATATATATAAAAATATATGTATATATAAAATATATACAGAAATGTATAGTAATCCTACCACCTTGAGATAACCATTTTTTTTATTTTTGTTGTAATTCTTGCTGAATTTGATGCATCTATAATACATATCTATATAATTATTAAGATTATGACTGGCAACAATAGGATATAAATTAAACACTCTTTGGCTACAGTGCTTCTTTCACTTAGCAAGTTGTGGCATTTTTCATGCCAGTAAATATCATCCACATTAGCATTGTCAAAGGTCATATAATAATCTAATTTAAAGGTATAATATAAAATTTATACCCATTTTCCAATTATTGAGTATTTGAGATGTTTCCAGTATCTCCCTGTGGTTAACATGACTTCAGTGAATGTACTTGTGCATACATCTTTGTATTCATGTCTAATGATATTTAGGACAAGTTCCAAAAGTAAGTATTGTAGAACCTTAGTTCCTAAGCATGCTCTCTGATGAAAGGGTTCCAGGACCTACAATATAAGAAAACACTGACTATTACCCACCATCTTGAAGAATTCCAATATTTAGTAGTATACTAAGGTCTTAGAAATCAAACTTATTTGATTATAGAATCCTTTCTTAAAATAAAACCTGTCTTTGGGCTGTTGAGAGTTGGAGAAGTTGTGCATGTGTGGGAAGGGGGCATATGGGAAATCTTTCTAGTTTCCACTCAACTTTGCTGAGTCCAAAACTTCTCTAAAAAATAAAGTCTATGTTATAAAAAGCAAAAGGAAAATTTTAAAGGGGAATATATTTAAGTGCCATTGTATACACTTACATTTCAATTAAATTTAGACTTGCACACATACACATAATACACACCTGATAACATCCCACTTAACATTTTGGAAAATACTAGCTTATGGTATATTCTAAAAAAGGGAATTGGTGGATCAAAGAGTAAATATACTGAAAGTCTACCAACTGCATTTTTACCAGCAGTATAGAAGAGTGCCACTTTCACTGTAGTTTTGTCATTTGATAGTAACTGTTTTTGTTTTACATAAATCTGATATGAGAAAAGTATATGGTATTTTAATTTTCATTTACTTGATTGCTAGTGAGATAAATGTCTTTTTATACTTTCATTTGTCCATTATTTTTCTTTTATGACCATCTCATTTATGCCCCATTTCAAATTTTTCTTAGGCTTTTTAATGGATTTTTTTGATTGCAAAGAATCAAGAATCATATTACGAATATTAACACTGTAAATCACATGTTACAATTATGTTTTCCCTCATTTTCCTCTTTTTATGTTTTGTTTTATTTTATGTATTTTAATTTTGCCATGTAAGCTTGGCATTTTATGAGGTTAAATCATTCTGTCATCTTCATGGATTCTGAATTTGGTGTCTGTATGTGCATTGGCTTTTTCTAAAAAACTTTATTATGGATAGTTTCAAACATAGAAGATTTGGGAGAATCTCTTCTATAGATATAAAAGCCTAAGTGACCAGCCAACTGGCTGACCAGCCAGTAGCTATAATGCATAATGACCACCAGGGGACAGATGCTCAACGCACAGGCATGAAAACATGAGACAGACTGATGAATCTCGGGGGGGGGGGGGGGGCGTGGGGGGAGGGGGTGGGAAGAGATTAACCAAAGATCTTATATGCATACTAGTGGGGTCCTTCGGCCTGGTCTGCGGGGATCGGGCCGAAACCAGTTCTCCAACATCCCCCGAAGGGTCCCAGATTGCGAGAGGGCACAGGCCAGGTCATGGAACCTCACCAATGCACAAATCCATGCACCGGGCCTCTAGTAGTATAATAAACCCCATGTATTTCAATCTGGCCTCAATAATTAACAACTCATGGCTAATATTTTTCTTTTAAAACTCTTGAGGTATGTTGAAGCAAATGCAGACATTAAGTTATTTCATCTATTAATATTTCAGTATGAGAGTTACTCTAAAGGTCGTTTTACCTAACCTGTATTTTACATCTGCCATAGTTTTTCTTGCTGAAATCATTGACTTCCACTACAACATACTTATAATGTTATACCAAACATCAACATTAGCAAAGATTAGTGTTTCGTAATTTAGAATTTTAAAATAGCCTCCATAAGAATTTAATATACTGACTACTTGTGGCCAAAAAAAAAAATGTGTTACTAATTTTTCATGCTTTAAATGTACATACATCTATGACCCATACTTTTTTGTTGCTAAAGTTATATCAATAAAAAGCCTTAGTTTCCATTTTTACTGAAGATAAGCCTTAGTAGAAGCTATAACTCTTTTTACACCACAATATAGATATTATTTTTCTGTCCTCAGAAGGTACTGTCCTAAATTGCAAATTGTTTTACTACATTAATGGGGAATTTTTCAAGACTTTTGAAAAAAACTTGACATATGCCTCTCCAGAAACGTAACAGATTTTTTTTTTTTTTGAATCCTTGGTTTAGATGGAATACAAAATTTTATATGTTTTTTTTTCTTTTATTGTCTAAAGTTTTACATTTGTCTTCTTTTTCCCCAATTGACCCCGCCCCAGCCCTTCCTACCCCAGGCAAGCCCCCAGTGCCTATGTCCATTGGTTATGCTAATATGCATGCATACAAGTCCTTTCATTGCTCTCTAACCCCCCCTCCTCCCCTACCATTTGTCTCTAGATCGATCTATTCTTGTTCATCAAATTATGTGGATCAGTATATCCCACATATTGAGTGAGATCATGTGATATTTATCTTTCTCTGACTGGCTTATTTCGCTTAGCATAATGTTCTCCAGTTCCATCCATGTTGTTGCAGATGTTAAAAGTTCCTTCTTTTTTTATAGCAGCATATTTACATGTTTTATGTGATTAATATCTAATTACTTTTTAAGGTATCAGTTAAAAAAAAACAGTAATTTTCTTTCTTTTTTTTTTTTTAGAGAGAGAGAGAGAGGGAAAGAGAGGGATAGAGAAATAGACTCATCAATGTTGAGAGAGAATCATAGATCAGCTGCCTCCCACATGCCCCACACTGGGGATTGAGCCCATAACCCAGGCATGTTCCCTGCCCGGGAATCGAACCATGACCTCCTAGTTCATAGGTCAATGCTCAGCCATTGAGCCACATCAGACGGGCAAGAAAGCAATACTTTCTTAGGGTCTTCTGTGGCGTTTGATAGTGAATATAATAGTTCATAGGAAATTAGGAAGATATCCCATGATTACTACTGCCAGAAAGAGTACAGAACATAATCAGATATGGTTCTTATATAAAGAAGGATACAAAAGCTAAGTTAGTCTCAACTAGAAATAGAATTGTCAATGTATATGAAAAGCAGAGGAGGAAAATAAGTATGAGCCTTAGTCACAGCTAAGTAAAATCATGTAAGATTTAATAGTTAATAGAGATCTTTGTGTTAGTATTGTCAGATCATATTATTTTATGAATGAGAAAACAAAAGAACAGAGAGTTTAACTCATGTTTGTCCAAAGTCATGCAAATGGTTTTTATTTACAGTTTTCTCAGAAGACATTTAAAAGGTTCTAAAAAGTTATCATTGAAAAGAGCAGCAGCTGGTGGCCGGGCAGGGCCCAGGGGTCGGGAGCAGGGTGGCGCAGTGCCCCGAGCGGGAGGCCGAGCGGCAGCTTTCTTCCCTGTAGCTGAGGATATGCACCAGAAAAAAAGAAAAAGAAGGAGAAACCAAGATGGCGGCATAGGTTAACGCAGGAGATTGCTGCCTCGAACAACCACTTCAAAAAACAACTAAACGACGGAACGGACATCATCCAGAACCACAGGAAGGCTGGCTGAGTGGAAATTCTACAACTAGGAGGAAAGAGAATATCATACCCAGACTCAGAGGAGGCGCAGTGCTGAAGTGAAATACTAAGGTGCGGAGTGCACGTGGAGCGGGCTGGCGGCTGAGGGCGTGGTTGTTGTTTTCAATCGGTAGGGAGTTTCAGACTCTGAGCTCCAGATCCAGGCGAGTCTCTAGGGACCCAGACTCAAACGGGAGAAGCGGGACTGTCTGGCTTTGGTCGGAACTCGAAGGCAGCTTTCTCTCTGAGGTTTGCAGCGGTTGCTGGGACTCTGTGAGGCAGAGCCCCTAGGGACTGAACTGAGAGCAGCCATAACTGCTCGCTCCAGCCCGCCCTGTAGATCCCCAGGGACCCGCCCCGCCCAAGCCCTGCACAGAGCCATTTGCCAAATAGCCTCAGGCAAACGCTAGATTAGCACCGCCCTAGAGATCCAACACAGAAGCCCTCCCACTGCAGACACAGCGGACTGTCATAGCCAGTTAGCCTGGAGGTCAAATCACCCCCGGTATTGCCGACAACAGTCAAGGCTTAACTACACCAAGACTGGGCACAAAGACCACTAGGGGGTGCACCAAGAAAGCATAAAAAATGCGGAGACAAAGAAACAGGACAAAACTGTCAATGGAGGATATTGAATTTAGAACCACACTTTTAAGGTCTCTTAAGAACTGTCTAGAAGCCGTCGATAAATGTAGTGAGATCCTCAAGAAATCTAATGAGACCCTCGATGTTATGATAAAGACCAACTAGAAATTAAGCATACACAGACTGAAATAACAAATACTATACAGACTCCCAACAGCAGACCAGAGGAGCACAAGAATCAAGGCAAAGATTTGAAATGCGAAGAAGCAAAAAACACCCAACCAGAAAAGCAAAATGAAAAAAGAATCCGAAAATACGAAGATAGTGTAAGGAGCCTCTGGGACAGCTTCAAGCGTACCAACATCAGAATTATAGGGGTGCCAGAAGATGAGAGAGAGCAAGATATTGAAAAC